CTTTGGTAGTCCCAGGAATTAAATCAGTAGCGTTAAAGTATCTAGAATTAGTTTGTAACAAAATAAGACCACCAAAGCCTAACTCCACATAAATCAAATATATTTAGTTAATTAAAAGAGATAGGTACAAAACTGATGACATAATTCAAATTTAACGCAGCTCTAATTCAAGAATTATAATAATATGTTGTAATATTTTTAAGTCTGACCTAAATAAAATAAGAACACCAATAGAGTATTAAGTTAGTTTTCCATTGACACAGCCCACTGAGTTTCTCGCCGGATCTTATCAGTGGGTCGCGTTTCCGATCCGGTGGTAGATTCTGCGGAGCACTGCACTTGCTATGGTCAGTGTTAGCATCACTCCGGTTTGAGCCCCGTGAGCTCACCTACTAGTTCAGGTTATGCTGAAATAGCCTCTCAAGGCTATCAGCTTAGGTAGGAAAAAAAAATTAGGTATATGTTAGTTTACGTTATACTTGCTATTCATCAACGATATTGCTAATCACAAAATGTAGGCAGAAGTATGGAAACGACAGGAATTATTGGAGATTATAGGATTATAGGCTACTCATTTTAAACTGTGATCGGCGAAATTTTAGAAAATGTATGTTTGTACTTGACCTAGTTTTTCAGGACCTGGTTTCAAATATGGAAAAACTGACAGTAAATTTAGATTTATATTGTTGAAAACTAAATCTTATTTTACGTTGGACAAGTTACAAAGTACTATGGAGATACCAACTGTGAATGCGCAGTGAGGACAAACGGTGTGACGCAGTGGCGGGCGGCATTCACAAATCTCCGACTGCGGTGTTCACCCGCCTAAACCAACCTACAACCTATACTAAAACCAATATAGTTACATTTTCTTGCCTTTTACGGATTCTATTTTCCACTGTGCACGAGAGCTACTCCCCGTGTAAGGTAAGGAATTTAAATGTTTCAATAATAAACCCATACGACTTAAAAACATATTATAATCCTAGTTAAGCCAGTTTCAGTAATCTTTGTAGTGAGTGTATAAATATTTATAATTACCTTGGTTAGTCAAAGCCTTTTTTAGAAAAGTACGACTCGTCGATCGCATTTACGAAAATTTAGGTCAAGGGAACTTTGCGCGAACTAAGGTCGGGTCCTTTTAATCGGGAGTAAATATTCAAAGCGTAGGTCAAATTGAACATTACATAACATCTCAACATTAGAATTTTCCGTTCAGTACATCAATATTAATGCTCTTATACTTTAAACAGAAACATTAGTCTGGAGTAATTAGCGCGAATCAATTTCATATTCCATTTTACAAATTCTCCTATTTATAGGTATTGTAAGTAGTACTAAATTCACGATTTTAGGAGACTTGTTTGCAAAAATTTTCAATTTTGAAACGTTTTCTTCTAATTACAGGATGACATCACCCGCAATTACTAAGTCATCGGAAAATCAAAAAGGCGAAAAAATGTCACCCGGACAAACTACTGACGTCAAACCAACAAGCAATGTTGCCGTCAATAGGTCAAGCACCACCTGTACAACACAGCAGTCTGATCCAATCACCTGGATTCGAATCTTTAAACTAACAGATTTAATGATGAAACAAGGTTGTTGAACAAGACAATTTGTAACATTGATGCCCAAAAGCATTTTAGTATAACAATGACAAAGAAATTTTAAATCACAATGTAGACATTTTATTTAGTACGTTTTGTATAGTTTAGTTTAGTACTGTTATTATATACATAATAGTTAAATTATACATGCTTCTATGTGTAGTTCCACAATGTGGTACTTGATTGATGCCTTGTTTTTGTAAGCTATTAGGCTTAGCGAATAATGTTAATAAATATAATTCACGTTGTTGCAAAAATGATTTAAATCAGCTATTAAAAAAAAAGTTTTGTAGGCGATTTGGTAGGAGGTGCTACTTCAGTTTCCTCCACAGTGAGTTTTTTTCATAGTTAAGTAGGTAATATTAGATGCAAGGATGCAAGATTTCTACGTTGACGTTATTTATCTTAATACTGTGGTTTGACTGGCATGAAATTACAGCGCTTTGACTTACTTATTACTGAAAATATTTTAATTTTAATCAGCCAGTTAAAGATATGCCAACACGCGGAATTGGACACACATTGCCTTAGTTTATGTAGGTATTTTAGAATGTTCGTACATTTCATCTCAGTCTGGATTGGCCAAAGGGCTTGAAACGGTGTGCGTCCAGCTCGCAATTATTAAAAGGATACTTACAAGTATGAAACTTCAGCCTTCTCGATTCCCTTCCGTTCGTAATAATTCTATCCTCCTTAATCGTCAAATCTCAATGATGCACTCGTATCGATCAATGCGACTATATCAGAGTTCGAATCCCGTATGCAGATATTAATTTTTGTAATGAAATATATACCTACTTCACAAATTTTCACGAATGAATGAAGGAATAACATCGTGAAATATTCGTAAAATCAAGCCAGGCAATGTTATAATTTGCGAAAATACTAAAACAGTTGAGTTAAAGACCTCGACTGTCAAGGTGGGTTGGGTTCTGTTATTGACATTGTGATGTCTATAGTGTCGGGTAACTATTTAACATCAGGTGCCGTTAGCTCGTTTTCCCGTCTTCGAAATAATAAAAAGGAATAATCCTAATTTTGCATGCACAGACCAATACTAGTCTCCGTATAATTCCATCTTGAATTAGTAATATATCTACTATTAGGGCCCGAGTCACACCGGAATGGCAGCGGCCGGCAGCGTCGCGGCGAGCACTTTGTCGGTGGTTCTGCCCGCGGCTGCCAGCGGCGACACAAGGCCGCTCGCGGCACCGCGGTCATATATTATAATAACCAATTCCATCATGTTCACTCCAAAACACGAGTATCATTGCCGAATGAAGAAACTAAACTAGTCAAGAGGAGACTAGGCGCATGCAGTCTGAAGGCCGCGCGAGGCCGCCAGAGGCGACGCCGAAGTCCGCTGGCGTCGCTGCCGGCCGCTGCCATTCCGGTGTGATTCAGCCTTTAGACCACTACCTATGTGAGCTAGAATGAGCCTAACACCCAGCCTATATTTGAAGCCTCAGAATTATGCGGTCCAGTTTGAAGGGTCGAACAGTCGACACACCAGCGAAATGAGCAGCATAGGCGGAAAAAAAAGGTTTTATGATTATTATTATTTTTTCAAATTATAGTAGGTGGCAATTAAAATCTTCAAGACGGTGCAAGGAAGTACCTGCTAAAAGTACCAAAGACTTTTCCTTGGTAATTTCTAAACGCTAACGCTATGAGTACCAAATGTATAATTATATTCTTCAAACTATCCACTTAATTAACAAGGTAGTTCACGAGTATCATCATATATTAACACACTCTCACGTTTATTACTTTACAATACAACTACATATATATATACGTGAAGCAAAAACTTTGTATCCCTTTTTACGAAAATTGCGCGGACGGAGGAGTATGAAATTTCCCACACTTATAGAGAATATAGAGAAGAAATGCACAAAGCTAATATTTTTTTAAAAGAATGCATAAAAGATACATTCTTCTCACTGGCTAAATATATTATTATCTAAACTGGTGGTGGAGCGTGTTTACTGCTGATATGTGTCGGGGCTCCGTACGGGTAGGTACCACCGCCCTGCCTATTTCTGCCGTGAAACAGTAATGCGTTACAGTTTGAAGGGTGGAGCAGCCTGTGAAAACTGAGACCAGAACTCATGTCTCATGGTGGGTGGTGGTATTTACGTTGTAGACGTCTATGGGCTCGGGTAACCATTTAACACCAGATGGGCCGTGTGCTCATCCATCTATATTAGCAATAAAAACGTAGTAGACATTGATATTTATACTAAACTAAGAAAATATTTATTACGTTAATCTGTTCACTTATTATTTTCAAAAAGGGCAGCGCAACTCATTGGGGCATCAGTTTATTTAAGAGTTGCAGATATTGCTTCTTATTAGAACCTTAACTATGTTTAAAAACATCCCATAGAACTTGTAGATAAAATAACTTCCTATTGGTGGCAAACTTTCCAGAATCATCTCGGTATTTAGATAGCGTGGCTCCTCCACAAATCATTCAAAATCAACCACTTCATCAATAATTTGGAAATAAAACCGAAACGAAAAAATCTCTTAATAATATACGATGAGTACTTGATGTTTTAGTAACAAAATATTGAGCCAGCAATGAAATGTGAAGGTTCTAGAGCAAGTGTCCACATTTAGTTCAGCCATCGAATCAAGTCTTTATTAAAACCTAGTTAAATAATTATATACGATGTCACTGTATACTGAAATACCCCTTTCAACTTAATATGAATGTTTTAAGAATGAAAGGTAATCTACATTTTTTAAAGCTCGACCTAGGCATTTCCAAAATTTCCTGAAAATCGGATCAGTGATTTAGGCGCGAAACTGTAACAGACTGACAGTTACAACACAGCATTCATAATATTATTTGCTATGCAACTTCTAATATGGACAGTATAAAACTCTATTCCAAAATTAACGATCTAGTTTTTTGCAACATCCTATTTGAATGAAACAAAACTCTGGACATTGTGCTCCACATTAATGTCTACTTGTGAACATGTAAAATCTTTCAGTAATAGTTCCTGATGCGCAAACAAACAAACGGACAGAAAACATTTCAAAAATTCGCTGGTTTGTTTTACTATATTACTCTTAAATTACCAATCTCTATTTGTATTACTTTTCTTCAATTTACAGACACATCGGATTCTACTACTATTACTATATTATTTGTATTGATTCTACAAAATTGAACTAAGTTTGTCAATTTAATATTTTAATAAAATCCGAAATGTTTGTCAAAAATTATAAAACCATTTATGTTATATCAATAAATAATTCACTCTTTTATTTTTTAATTTACTTATGTATTTAAGTAATTCAAAGTCATTAAAAACAATGAGTATCATAAATCATCGGAAAACAACATTACAAAACTAAAAAATGAATACACTCTCGTGTAGTATTTTTTTTAATAGTATTGGTAGGAGTTTACATACACAGGAATCTGGGTTGTTCGGGTAAGGGAAGTTTCGTTACAATACTATCTTCATATTTACAAAATATACATTGGCTTACAGATACTTTCTAGTAATAAAATCTATAAATATAATTATGATCACATTTTTTTTCTATAAATACGATGTCCAGACAAAACCGACATAGACCGCAGTACAAATCCGGAAGCGGCTGTTGCGCAACAAGATCAACTCTCGCTCCACATTTGCTGCACACTTGAGATCAAATGTTTTTTTTTACAAAATATTTTATACTATCATCATCTCTCACTCTTGCAACAGCCGCGGCCGAAGACGTACCGAGTAAGACTTACGTCATTCCATTCTCACGTAATAACTTCGTATTTGGGAATAGAATGAGATAGGATCAGAAAAAATACTCTGATTTCGCAATGTCCTCAATGAGCCCTTTTTGAAGACATCCCGAAATGAAAGATATGTACAAACACAAACAATACAAAACTATGCTATCACTTACTTTCTATTTTATCGTCGAAGGGAATTAATTTGGAATTACAAATACAGAAAGCAATAAGTTTGAAGTTCTACTCATAATTGACATTTCCTCATCTGCAGGCTGCGTGATCAAGCAGATTGTAATTTTTATAATCTTATAATTTTTACTCTCTTAATTTACGTTTCTAGTTTGATATTTAAAAGCTAGTATGCAGTACTGGCGATGGCTTGAAATTTTTTTTCTACTTTGTTTTGAATCTGCTAAATCTTGGAATTCATAATAAATAAATGAAACCTTAGTTAAATTAAGACAGTTTAAATTATGTTTCGAGAATTTTTATGAACAATATATGTGCAACTGCACAATATCTGTTTATTAAAAAATGTTCAATAAAGAGGTCTAATAGCTTTTTTAGTTATTTTAGACTTAGCAATAACTTTATTAAGATTACTTGCCACTTTCTCAGGTTAATAATGTAGGTCGTTTTACAAGGAATTCGAAAAGAGTATTTAGTAATGGTATTTTTTCTATTTAGAAGTAACAGTAATTAAAATACATATGATATAGTAGCTAGTTAATCTCTTTACACTCGTATGTTTTATTCTTTAATTACATAAATTTATGTTATTTAAAAATTACGGATACTTATGCAATATTTACAGAAAATTCCTTCATAAGGACTTACCATCCCTTTTCAATGGGCTCTAGTTCAGTATTAAAATTGTAACGTATGTAATTTAAAATTAATGGACGAAGTTGAGAGTTCGTTAATATTTCTTCTAGCGACATCAAAGTATTTGCGACGGAAACATGACACGACTTCATATTTTTTACCCTATACATTTTTTTTAAAACAATAATTACGTTCTGCACTATTATCTTTAATACGTAGACTATTTATTACTTTACATAAAATATTTTGTACTTTAAATTTACGATAGCAAAGTCGCACTGTAATTTTATTGTTGTAGTATTGAGATGTTAGCGACAAATTATTATTAATTATTACCCACATGAAAAGTAATGGAATCTATCAATGTCATAAGTACAAAAATCTTTATCTCCTAAATGATCTTTTATCATTATTGCTCTCTGTACCATAATAATATGATAATTACAAATGCTCGTATATTACTGGCAACTAAGTCAAACGTAACTGGAATAGAAAATGATAATGGTGCACGCGTTACAGAAGTAGCGGCCAGCCTATATAACACCACTGAAAGTGATAATATTCTCTTTGAATTAAACAACTCTTTATATCGTAAAAACCTAAAGATTATTCATTACTTGATTTAAAAATTATTTTCTTAATATTACTGCATGTCCGAATGAAGTTAGATTATTTTAGTGAAATAATTTAAGTTAAATAATTTGTGAACGAAAAAGGCTTTGTATTATTTCAATAAATGGCCATCATCAGCAACATTTTTCTTTTTATTTACACAGTAAAGTAACCTCGATTAATTAGCTTTTTTTGTTCTTTTATTATTTAGATATATAAAAATTCTCGGATGATTTCTTCTTTTTATGGAACATATTAGTGAAATTTATACTTTGATAGTATGGTATTTATTTCCGTAAAGACATGGCCGCTAGATCAATAACGTTCGTAATAGATACACACTGCTCTTATATGCCCCCAAATGCTACCTAAGTTAATATTTAAGAGTCAGAATCACAGTTTATTTTCCACGTGTATTTTTTCCTTACCATTAAGAATAATTAAAGTATGTAGTTATTTACATGATACAGTAAACATTCGACCCAGTTTTCCTCGATTAATTTTATCTACTGTAACATCTTAAAGTTAATTTAATAAGAATAGATTCAATATTTACACGTTTATTTCTTTAGATCTAATATAGCTTAAAACAAAACAACAATTTACACTAACAGTTAAAAATGCTCGATATACCGCCATTCCCTCAGAAACGCAAAATTAGATTTTATGAAGTGACTTTGCGGTTATTAACTTCAATTGGCATCGATCCCAGTCGACGATAACAAAAATATTTTCAATGATATAAACTATGACGTATTTACACTGTGTCAACATTAAATGACGGTAAGCAAGATGTTATAAAGGTCGAGATCCCTAAATAGTTTCATTACCGAATACCGAACCGAATAATGACTATTTAGGATTTTCATTTTGAATTATTAAAATGTGTAATTTTCGCATTTAAAAGTTCAGTCATAACTCTAACAGGTCGATCGAATTCTAATCTTAAAACAACAGTACAAAAGTTTCACAACCTTGTTATATTTACAACGATCTTAATTATGTTCCGAACGACCATAAGTAGTGTAGCCAGGCGTCAGCGTGCAAAACGTCCTTTGTAATTTATCATACTTTTAGTATTATCACATTTCATAAACAGGGTTCGATAGACCTTTAGTCTATGTGTGGTCCTTTTCAATCCATAGTTTCAGTATTACTTTTCCGTTTCCGCGTTCACACAGTTGCGATGACAATTAACAAATGCGCAATGTCGGCGACACGATGCATCAAGTCGGGCGCTATGCGATTCAGGTTTTCGTTTGCGAAATCGCATGAAGGAAATATGTGAACGGTAAACATTGCCTGTAAAAAAGATAATCGTCATTTTATACAACTAACAAAACATGAAAATTTAATCCAGACGTCTGATTTACAAGATTTTGATATTGTCAAATTCTTTCATATAAGAGTATTTATTACCTGATGATGGCCAGGTGGAGCGATATTAACAATTCCAGCGGCTTGTTTACGTTGCAAGTACGTTATAAAACCAGCAGTAAGGTTGTTAGACTGCTGCAAGACGTCCATATGATCTCGTCCGCATGGTAATGCGAGCAACATACAATGTTCGTTTTCCATCTGAAAGCGAAACGAAATGCATTATAGCAATTTACAAACATGTATTATCTATACATATAAATAAAATTGCATTGTCTGTTTGTAATATTGAAATAACCGCTTTTTACTATGCATATGAATATATATATACGGTACATACACCAAAATAACATTTTTTACAATTTTTGTCTGTCTGTCTGTTTGTTCCGGCTCTAATCTCTGCAACGGCTGGACCGATTTTGACGGGACTTTCACTGATAGGTAGCTGATGATATAAGGAGTAACTTAGGCTACTTTTTCTAGACTAGCTTCGCCCTGCGGCGCCACCCGCGATACGACAATAACCGCGGGTAGCATCGCGGGAGCTAACTATCAATAATAAAATTTAATGTTTCCGAAGCGAAGCGAGGGCGGGCGGGTCGCTAGTTAAATAATATTTTTCGTAAACGTGTTGTTCAGATAAAACAAATAACATTTACTTGTGTTCGGAGTTAGATCAGTAGAGTTATTACGAACCTTCATCTTGCGGTGGACCTGGTCCAGCTGCGCGGGCTCGAGGCGCATGCGCTGAGCGATACGGAGCAGCGGCGTGGCCTGCTCGTGGTGCCGAGACAGCGTGTCGCCCGCCACGCCAGGGTTACCGCCCACGAAGTGCATCTGTACGGCCGCAGAGTCGTTCTTCAGAGCCAACAGACCTTGCCACATCACCGGGTATCTCTGTCAGCAAAAAAAACATTTGGCTACCTAACTCGATCGATTCAAAGCATTTTATTTGGGTACTAAATGAGTTAGACACAGGTAGAACATAATTTCAAACCATTGTCAGACAAGCAGCAATACCTAAGTAGTAGTAGTAAAGTACAATTATTGATTAAAAAACCGACTGCTAGTAGAAGTATTATACATGGATACGTTTAAATCACAAATAATATGTTTTATTTCATTTTGTTGATTGCAAAGGTAAAAAGGTTCATCGGAATATTATGATAATAAGCCGAAAATGTTAATAAAGTTACCCTAAGGAGCATCTGCAAGGAGTCAGCCTCCCGCGGCACCTGGCTGGCGTGCGGCGGGCCCGGCGGGGCGGCGAGGGGGCGGCCGTGCGCGGGGGGCGGGGACCGCGCGCCTCCGTATACTGCAGACGTATATGTACATGTGTCACACGTCAATGGTGATATGTTTGGTGTCTGATTTATATAACTATGTTAATAAAGTTCAATAGTAAAGTTTCATTCCAATTTAATTATACATGCACTCATGCACAGGTACATATCACAGCTATCGTCACCTTAAATCAATTGTGATATGACGCCATTTATTTGTTGTACATATGAAGTTTCTTTGCCAAAATTGATTTAGGAATATTATCCGAGCCAGGCGAAGGGGCAACGCAAAGCCGTCGTCGTTACGGACGACGACGGCTTGTCTTGTCTTGTCGGATCCTCTGATCCACTCTCGGTGCTCTTAGGCCCCTCAAGCACCAGTCACCATCCTCGTCGAACTCTGTCTCGAAGAGTTCGAAGAGCGTAATAACCCATAGACACAGCCCACTGAGTTTCTCGCTGGGACTTCTCAGTGGATCGCAATTCCGATCTGATAGTAGATTCTGCAAAACCACTGCTCTTACTAGGGCTAGTGTTAGCAAAGTGCCGTACGGGCGGGGCTGGAATAGTCCATTAGGCTATTAGCGAATAGGTAGGGAAAAAAGAAATTTTAGAATTTGGAACTACGCGCAATACAATGAATTATTTAAACATACATAATGTTAGTGAAAAGAAAATTTCGTTTAATTGCCCAGTAACTAGAATAAACACAATGTATAATAATGTTCTTTTGTTGTTAAATATCTTACTCTAATAATCTTCCCTAAAAAATTTGTAAAGGATTCATTAAAGTATATTTATTATTAGACGATCTGAATTCAAATTTAGTTCAAAAAATAGTTTTTCTAAGAATATAGGTAACCAATCGTTAAATTTAGTCTGTTAGATTATATAGTATTAGCCACAGTGTTGTGTGAAAAAAAGGGATATGTTAGATTATTGTTTTAAAAATATGCATTTTTTTTTTTTATATTTATTCTAGCTAATCTTTATAATCAATTATGGATCACGAATACGATTGTTGACTCGATCAGAGTTCGGTAAACTACGGGTCCACCACACGCGACGACTACCTACAGTAGGCGCGCGAGTTCATGTCCGCCCTGAGGAATGCTACCGCATTAAAAATATATAATTAAACACTACCGTGTTGTGACTTAGTTAATTATGGTAATGTTGATAATAACTACCGATTTAGTCAACAGTTGTCAATTTGGTTTAATGTTTTTTTTTTTTTTTTTTTCCTCCTGGTGCCAGCGCGCTAGAGTGACGGTAACGCGCGGCGCAGTCTCAACCCCATTAGGTCGCCCCGTGACCATCACCGGGAGGAAACTGCCTCCTCATAGGGGGTTTAATGTAACTTAAGGTAATTTTGCAAATTATGTAATAAAATAAATGTCATAACTTACTTATTTCTAATAGAGAAAAATATTTTTTAAATTCCAATTCAATCACTATCAAATGAAAAGACAACCACAGATCAGAGTCGGAATCAGTATGATTCTTTTTTCAGTAGGTTTTTTTCTACCTGAACTTGTTGGAAGCGGAGTAGTCATGGTTAAATAACACAATAGCGTTTGCGTAAATTTTCGATATCGATAAGCTCGTCACAACCGTCAAGGACAACACTCGACGTCAGACAAATGCGGGGAGGTGGGCGAAGGTGGGGCAAGCTATCCCCCGCGCGTCGCCTCTGACTCCGATGAACATGAACTCGCGCGCATACAGTAGTTACATCGGCTGGAACAAGGAATGCTAATATCATAGTATACTGACTGATGAGCCTATCGGCGGGCGCAGGCGAGTGCGCGGGGCGGGGCGCGCGCGGCCGGCGCAACTCTAGCGGCGGGGTCGGCGTCTCACAGCCCTCGGTCTCTAGCGTGCTGCAAGAAAGTATTACTGTGTTTTATTTTTTGCAATCATTCAATGCAATTCTCATTATATTGTTGCGCAAAACAATGAATACTAAATAATGATTAACTCGGGAGCGCTTTTGATGAAAACTTGTCTATGACCAAGGCTAATTATGAATTTTAAAAAAAAGTGTCTTATCCATGAGGACAAAAGGACTCAGTATCTTTAAATAAAATGGTAACTTTTCAGTCCATAACTTTTCAACTATAAGGATAGTGTGAAGGGCGTGGTTTCTTATTTTTAGTTTACAGATAATTGTAGTGGTGTATTTTTATAAACAATTTTATTTTATTTTATCTAGAAATGCGAGAAAATTAATGATAAGTCGTCAAAAAGGTCGAGCATACTATGATGACCACCAAGGTATGCTCTCTTTACTAGGACTTTAGGACCCTACAGTACAAAAATCATTTCTTTTACCTGACATTGACATGTCATTTTTAGGCCATATAAATATAAAGTTTTATACAGGTTATTTTGTGTATTATTATCGCTAAAATTATGTTTAAAGTTTTGTGAATTAAGTTTCATACATGAAATAATTAAACGGACATCAAAGAAAATTACTAAATATTATGCAAAATAAAATCATATTTAGATTATTTTTATAATTTGAAATTTCCCAATTCCACACAAAAACACACACACATAACATCATGTAAATACTAACCGTGTAAAGGGAGAAGGTGATGCGCGATTTTCGTGTTGAGTTGCACGAAAATGCTGTTGATACATTTGGTAATGTTGATGAGAGTAGTGTGGATACATTGATTCGCCCTGAAAGTATAATAAATAACTTGCAAATGCTACGATTTACATTTTATTATATTTATTTTATTACATTATATTTCACTATAAAAATCTAGCTGTGCTTACTTAGAGTGCAGAAACTTTAGTAGTTTCCACACTAGAAAAGAACATCTTCTTGGTAATCGCCCATTGATATGAATTCATATCATATTACTTACTACTATGTGAACAATGACAAACCTTAAACATACAAAACACTCTCCCACGGCATTATCAAATACTGGTCATCTAATTGCTCGTATTCGAGAAACTGTCCTCTTCAGGAGTACATTTCATTTAATAATAAACCAAATACTCACCATTCCTATCTGACCCTGAGGACTGATTGAAGGAACACTTGTAATTGTGACTCTTGAGCCCGCACCTAAAGTGGACAAATAAATAATTCAACAAACTACATAATTTTACAAGCATGCAAGTTTGGTCAAGAGTCTGGTCAATATTCATCATCTGTATGAAGTTTAAAAAAGACTATACCATTGCATGTCAAAACATACTAACAAAGGACAATAGAAGAACAAACAAACACCTTGGTTTAACTTAATTTCCAGGAAATTACAAATACTTTTCGAATAAGATACAGTCAATTCAATTTATAATAAAACATTTTTATAGGAAATAAGTTTGAGTTTAAACCGAATCTTACATATTAACTTTAATATTTTCTATTAATAGGACTAATTAATTACCGGTGTGATGGTGTGGGTTAACAACGGCGAGCTGCTTGTGCAGCAGCGGCGGGTCGGGAGGCGGATGGTGCGCGCCGCGCGGCAGACTAGCGGTGGCCGTCGGCATGTACGCACGGTGCCCGCTCTCGCTGCTTCTGTGTGTACTGCTAGGAAATTAATTTTGTGTTTAAGGGCGAATTATTATTTTAATAAGAAACATATATTCGTAATTAATTATGAAATGCGAAATTAATTTTAACAAAAAGCGCTCACCTGATAAGAACTGGCGTGGCGCGGTCGGCAGGACGTAAGGGGGCGGGTGCGGGTGGATCGGGACCGCGATGCGGGAGGGCCGGCGACTGCACACGCACCTCGCCCGTGGCCTCCGTTCCGCCAATGGGCACCAGCACTGCCGGCACGCGCGCTCCTTGTACTTCACCGCCCCGTTCCGTTTCTTGTTGGGTTTCAAAGACAATCGCGAGCTTTGCGCTCCTCTCCGATATCATTTTTTTGGGAGGTTTGGTGATTGGTGTTGGAACCGTTGGATGAACTGTAGCGACATTCGATCCGGACTTTGGTGCAGCTGCAGAGATCACCGGTAGAGTGGTTGGCGGTACGGTTGTGACGGTGGCGAGCGCCAATTTCGGCGTAGACACAGAACAGCCGACAGTTGACGGAATTGCAGTGTTTTGTTCCAAATTTAAAATTTGACGTTGAACAACCTCGTCTGCAGAGTTAATGCCTTGTGAACGCGGTATCTTCGCATCAGATGAATGATCTTCTTTCCTATTATGCTTTTCATCACCACTTTCGATTGACGCGTCCGATAAACTTCTGTCCCTCACTCGCTTTGTTCCACGCGGGGATTTCCTGACGTCCGAATTGCTATTTTTATCTAAATTCACTTTCACGGCGTTTTGCCTCGTTGATCGTTTTTTACTGTTTTTAGTTTGAATGTTGTCGGTTTTTAAGATGTCATCAATATCATCTGTAGTCCCTCGTTGAACGTCCTTCTCTTGGAGTCTTCTAGATTTACGCGTATTAAGCGATGGTGATATAAAATCTTCAAGTTTTTCTTCTTTGTTTGTTTTTTCCGCACATTTAGATTGATCTTTCTGAGAAATGCTTAATGTAGACGTGGCTATCATATTACAATGACCGGATAAAGGACTTTTAATTGTTAAAATCAATCTAGGTCTACTTTCTACTTTAGCAGGTGCAGTCGTTGACTCATCACCTGAATCCTCATGGAAATCATATACATCGCCCGGCATAGAACAAGTACTATTCTTCACTAAATCCTTTATATTTTTATCAACTTTCCCCCTGCCGCGCCCTCGTTTTGTGGTCACTCCTCTCATTGGTTTTGTAATATTTCGGTTTTGAACTCGGTCTTGCTTTTTATCTGATCTCTTACCTCTGAGGCTCCTCCCTCCTCTTCTGTTGCTTGAAGGGCTCTTATCTACGAGTGATTCGTGAGAGTTTTCAGATAAGGTCAGCTTATTTGTAGTCTCTGTTGTCATCTTTTGGAATGACGAATCCGATAGATTTTCTTCTAATTCAGCCTTTCCGTCACATTGAACAGTATTTTCATTTTTTATCAAAGTATCAACTTTCACTTCATTTTCATTATTTTCTTTGCACAATGAGTCGACCTTCTTAATTACGGACTCTATGTTGACGTCTTTAGCACTCCAGGAATCAATTTCATCAGGAGTTTTAATTTCATTGTCATCTTCTATACCAGGCAGTTCTTGGGTTTGAAAAGCATGACTCTCATTTTTTTCGGATTTCATGTCTTTATTAGTGTTAATATTTTGGAAGCTTGAAATATCTGATTTACACTCACGTTCGGTATTGTCTGTTTCCTCGGGTACAAATTGTGTAGGATTAGTTTCATTACGAGGAGAAAAAACATTATCAACATCTGGCACTATTTTGTCTTTGATAAGTTTTTGCAGTGAATATTCAACTGTCGATTTTTCTTCATTATTCTCTGCACAATTTAGTGTCAAATCCACATTTTCGTTGTTCTCGGTCCTCAATTTGTCCGCACTACTTAAGCTTGTCGAAAGAACAGTAATCGTCTTCCCAACATTAATTTCAAGTTTTTTTTCTGGATCATTCATGACTTTGATTTCATTAGTGTTATCTTTCAACAATTCTTCAAAATCAGTCCCACATTTGCTTTCAGTAATACCAACTACTTCATTGATAGCTTTGGCAAAGCAATCATTTTGTAATAATTCTGATTGTTCTATTTTGTTTTCATTACTTTTTTTGTTATCACTTGGTTTAGAAATGTCATCATTATTTTCTATTTTTATTTCTGAATGTAAAGACTCTGGCGAAGTTGCCTTTATTAAGATGGGTGAAATCTTGGTAAAAGTATTTGATGATGATGATGAATCAACTTTAGTTAGAACTGTAGGAGATTTAACGGAAGCCATAGACAAGACTGATGGCCCTTTGTTTGCTTCTAGTTGTCTAACGTTACTCAAAGGCAGAGGTGTCATTAATCTTTGAGAACTCACTGCATGTATGACGTTTGACCCTGGCCCACGATTCATTGCGCTGGAGTCTTGAATACTACACATCACAGGTTTTACATTACTTTGAATAATAGACGCTGTTGAATGACTAACACCCGCAACGTGAATTATGGGCGTGCCCCCAAATGATATATGACCGAGTTGTTCCGGACTTGCACTTTGATTTTCTCGTTTTTCGTGTAGTTGACTAATTGTATTAATTAAAACTTTGTTGTTTAAATGTAGTGTAGTATTTAAATTTCCCATATGCATAGAATTTTGCATTGAAATTAAGCGATTCTGCGCCATTATGGTAGGGTTTGAGTTATGTTGTAGATTATTAGGCGATAATATTATTTTTGGACTTTCTTTTATGCTTTCTGTTGCATTTTGTTCGAGTTTCTTGCATTCTCCGGGCATAGTTTTAATCGAATTCAACAGTGGGGAACTCGCTCCTAAGCCTTTGTTATGTTGGATCAAATTGTTTACATTGACCTGCTTATTAATTGGAGTCAAAACCGGTGTAACGTGTATTGGTGTAGTCTGCCTATTAAAAGGCATATTAGGTCCAGGAGCTTGTACTAACACAGAATTATGTCTGTTGGGCGACACAATTGCTCGCGGTCCATGCTGTATATGCATGGTCTGTATCGGACTTAACGGCGGTTGTTGCATCCTTACTACAGTTACTTGTCCAGGTGACCGTTGCTGTAAAGCACACGTAGTAGTTATACCAGCAGAATTCAAAGTAGGTGTAGTACTTAAAATTGCCATGTTGGCTATCCGTGGAGTAGGTGCATTCTCAGCTTGTTGACTATTTTTTGTATTTTGCACAAGAGAATCACATGACATTCTCGGTGATATTACTATCCCTTGCGGTTTTTGATACAGTATATGAGATTCCGGAATTTTAATGGTAGGAGGCTGTATATTTGAAACTTGAGGTCTGATTATTTGATTTATGACTTGATACGGTGCGCCAATTCTAGCTGGAGTAATTATAGGTCTGAGAGAATTAGTCACTTGTATATTTTGTGATGAAGAAGCTTTAATTTGCACTATATTAGCTGTAATATGTGTTGGTTTGCTTTCAGTTTTTTCTCTATTAATCAAAGGATTGGTTTTTATGTTAATGACCGGCGACTCAATCAATTTATTATTACTTAGGGCCCAAGATGTGATAACTGGTGTTGCTGTAGATGTCATTACCTGAGTGCAATCCTTTTTAGGAATTGGTACCTTTAAATCAGATTCACTTATCTTTACAGTTACACTTTTTTTGGGATCATTTTTTATTTCGCTAACTGATTCAATTTTGCTAGTTATTGTGGTCTTGGATACTTCGTCCTGCTTCAACTGCTCGACTGTGACATTCAAAGCTTGACTTGTGGCAATGATATTGACTGGCAGTCTTTCTATTGCGTCTTGCGTAGAATCTTCAACTTCTTCATTATCTGTATCAATCAGTAATAAATCGTTATCAGAAACTGGGGTATCTGGCTTTGATTCTAATTCACTTGCATTCAAATTCTGAACTGCTTGTCTCATTTCTTCGGCATCCTCTTCGGGGATGCTTTCGCTGACAATAATTTCAGGGCCGATCTCATTTTTTTGTATCGTTAAGTTTTCGGTTGCTTCATAACAGTCTGTGAAAGAATCTTCTTTTCCACCAAAACTTTCACCTAACAAAGCAGCCACAGCGTCTTCGGTTTCCTCTTGAGATATTATTGCTCTTGGCTTTTCATCAACCTTTTGACAGAGGCGATCATTAAGATCAGTACAGATATCAGACGGCTTTTCTGTTTCGTTTTCTAAATTTGAAATGCTGCGCACAGCGTCACTTGCGTCAGAATTATAGGTTGTTTGAAAAATATCTTTCTTAGCATCTGGTGGACTCGATTCATTCTGTTCGTGCACTAAAGAAATGTCTTCAACGGTATTCTTAAAGTTTTCTTCTGTGACCGTTACCTCTGTGTTGACTTCACCGACGCATACCATTTCTTCTAAATCTTTAACTTCAGTCTTGTTGTCATCGATATTGGAATTGTTGGATTTAGCCTCTCCGATATCTGCTTTTAAAATATTGGGTGGGCTATCAGTTAACAAAGGTAGACTCTGTGATTCTGTCGGTGAATTATTTTCAAATTTATTACTAGAAACTTCGGTCGGTAATGTCTCCTCTATTGTTTTAGTTTTTGATGGTAAGTCTGCAGTACCTACTTCAATAACATCACACTTCTCCAGTTTATCGTTTTTAGTTTCATGAGAAAGGAACACATCTCTACGACTTGTTCGTTCATCCTTGTATCGTTTTTTTTTCTTTTTCTTGTCCCTGTAATCTCTTTTATTTTTTTCATGTCTTTCTGATATATCTTTATAGGGGGAGGTCGTTTCATCAACACTATCATTATGAATTCCATGATACTTCTCAGGCTTTGCACGATTCTCTTCGTCTGCTGTAGAATCCGCAAACAGCCGAGCCTCTATAGCTTTGCTAACTGCATCAACATCTAAGCTATTTTCGTCTTCCTTTACTATGTGTTTTTCCCTGTTACGCTTTTTATCTCTTCGGCGTTTTATTTCATCTTTTTCGCTATTCTTCAAGTCAGTATTTATAAACGTAGTATCATTTTCCTCAGTCTTACCAAAAGTCGAACACTCTTGGGCAGTGAAATCAGTTTTACTAACTTGGTGTACATTTATTTCTTTATCTGATTCATCTGTTAGAGGACCAAATATATCCTCCATTTTACCCTCTTTTTTTAAATTTATTGTTTCTACACTACCTTCGAAGGAATTGCAATTAGATGATAAGATTTTCTTTTCCTTCTTTGTTTTTTGTTTATCGTCGTGAAATTCGTCAATATCAATACTTTCTCGTGTTTTTTCTCTTCGTTTCTCTTTCTTAGTACTATGTCGGCGGATTTTATCGTTATATCTTGCTGAAACTTCTCTTTCATTTATTACAGAATCATTCTTATCGTTCTTTGGTTCACCGTCAGAGTGTTCGATTTTGTGTTTTCTTTGCTTTTTCTTATGTTTTCTTCGGATTTCGGTGAAATTTCTGTTTGGAAGTCGATCTATTGATTCATTTTCGGAAGAGAAGTCAATACAAAGCGATTTCATAACAGAGGATTTAAAATTGCTATCACCTTCAGAAACATTTTTAATTTTACTGTCATCGCTATCGCTTTTTCCAAAAAGATTTAATAATGTGTTCTTTTTTTCCTTATCAAACTGATCATGTACGTCAAAATCATTTCTGTAAGTTGACAGAGAATCAGAGTCTGAAACAAATTCCTTTTTAACATTGTTACGAAAAATAGGACTTTTACTAATACTCCTGTTAGATTTATCATCATCAGAGGAATCAGATATGATGCGAGTTCTAGAGTTTTTACGAGACAATTTATTCGATAAATGTGATTCACAGATTGAATCGCCCGAAAAATCTTCGGTTTTCTGTATGTCATTAATAAAGTCTGAAAGGTCAAGTTTAGTATGTTTTTTACTAAATGTTGAATCATCATCAGTTGAATTATCAATTGAGGATTTGTGATGTCTCTTTCTTTCCAGGTCTGAGTCACTATCTTCATCCCAACTTGACCTTTTCTTTTCTTCTCTTTTGGCTCTACTTTGTTTCAGCTGGCTAAATTTAGCTTTAATCTTCTCTTGACGTTTTTCTTCCTCTTGCTTTTGCATGTTTTTACATGAACGCGCTTTAACCTTATCATACATAGAAATATACGTTGGGCCATCATCGACTATGTCAAAAATAGAATGTTTTTTAGGTTCATCATCAGAATCAGAACTATCACTGGTTTGCAAATTTTTGCGATTTTTGCGCCTGTTATCATATTTTTCTTCCCTGCTCTTACGATCAATCGACATTCGCTTCTCACGCATGTCTTTCTTTTTATCCTCAGATTTTAATTTTTTATCATCTTTTAATTTAATCATTAATTCACAATGTTGTAGAGCATCTTGTTGCATTTGTAATTCTTGAATTTGTTGCAATTGTTGTAATCGCTTTTTTTCTTTCATTTCCCTTCTTAAAGCTTTCTGTTTTTCGTCCTCTTCGCTCGATCTCAATTGTAATGTAGCGAGAAAGTCTAAGTCATTTTGTAGGCCATCTGGTTTATGATTGTCTGAACATTTATCATTTTCATCCTTTGGGCTTTTCTTGTATGGTTTCAAACGATCGCTTTTATTACTTTTAGTCTCATTTTCTTTATGATCGCTACCGTAGTCATCAATAAGCTTAACTTGATTTCTTTTTTCATCTTTTGTTTTACCCTCGATAATTTTAGCATAATGACCCTTACTAAATTTGGTCGTTTTGTGTTTATCGCCTTTTGTGTCTTTTGAATCTCTTCGTTCGGGATGTTTCAAGTCGTTTCTTATTTTCTTTATATCGTCATGTAAAGAATCCAAACTATCTTGTGATGACATTCTTCTTTTGTTTCCAATATTAGACGGCAAACTAGAACACGAATTCAGACGTTCCTTTTTTTTCGTGTCAAGACTTGGTGAGTCCACTGAATAATGTCTCTGTTTATCATTATATTCAGTCTTGCATTTTGGAATATCAACACTATGATCTGATTTAGTTTTGCTTTGATGGTCAGAAGAATGCCTGTGATGATCCTTTTCTTCAGTTTTCACTTTGACAGGAACATCATGTTTATTTTCACATGGTTTGAGTGATGAATCTTTGTCTTGGTCATGTTTGGTAGTGTTATGATCGTTATTTTTTGACTTTGATTTGGACTCTTCCTTTATATCGTTGATTTCTGCATCCTTGTGTTTAGATGACTCATGCGACGCTCTAGAAGTTGAAGAATCAGTAGAATCTTTTCGACTGATTTCTCGAGTTGTTTCATCTCGTGAAGACTTCCGGCTTTTGCTTTCAGAATCCTTCTTGAAATCACGTTTCGAATCATCTTTTTTAGATTTATCATGTCTGTGTCTATCATCCCGTTTGATTTTAAATAAACATTCGTCCGTTGAATCCTTTCTTCTTTCTTTTTCGGATTTCTCTCGCTTCTGGTGATCATGCTTAGATTTTTCTTCAGACGGCTTTAAGTGTTTTTCTGCTGTGGCGTCTTCTTTTTTTTCTTTCTGTTTTTCATGATCTTTCTCAACTTTTCTTTCTAATTTATCGGAACTCGTTTTATCTAGGAGTCCATCTTTGGACTTTTTATCTTTATCATGTTTTTCCTGTCTATGATTTTTGGACTTCTCATGCTCAGACTTATCTTTTTCTAAACGCTCTCTAGGGGTTTTTGTTTTGTCTCGTTCACTTTTTCCACGATCATCAAAACTTTTTTCATAAGCAACTTTCTTTTCACAATATGTTTGCGGTTTTGAATTAGAAATACACTTCTCTTTTTCTATTGATTTTTCTTGAAGAACATTTTTCTCTTTACTTGTTCTATCAAAGAGTATTTTACTAAAACCATCACATTGGCTTAATTTTTTTTGTAACTCATCAGTGATCTCTTTGCTTGTGTGGTTAGGAATCAATATTTCGGTATTCTTTTCACTATCATTTGTGGATTGACAAGTGATATTATTATCTTTACTGTTGAATTTTACTATGGATCGATCTTCAGCTCTTTGATAATTAGATTTAAATAATTTTTCTGAACTAGTTTCCAAAAATTTTAGTATCTGTGATTCTTGATGTTGTTCTATCTGTTTAAGTATCATATCCATTACATCTCTGGCTGTATTGTCTTCTGAAAATGTTGATGGCGGAGGATCATCAGGCAATTTTATATCAGAAATATCTACATTCGCACACAAAGAAAATGATTCTTTTTCAATGGAATCTTTTCTCTTGGCAGTTTTATCGTGGTCAAAATAATCTAATCTCGTTTTGCACTCTAAACCGATTCCAGAAATAGCTTTATCTGCAATGAATAATTCTGAGCTTTTATTGTCATCACTGCGCCCAGGTGTGCTAAAAGATAATCTTTTATCCAAACACATGGATGTTTCTTCAGGTGGAATATGTTCAATTAAATCCAGAGGCAATTTATCAATGGGAGGTGTCATCGGTCGATGACGCATATCCATTTTGTATTCATTTTCGTTTATTTTATTCAATCGTTCCGGGCGGACGAGTCTGTCAGATGACCGAGCGAGACGAGGATCAATCGGACGCTCACCGTCTATTTCAACTTCCGTTGGGGAAGGAAGAGATGGCAGAGGAATGTGAGAAGTTACAGAAAGATGAGGCGGATTAGTCGAATGTAAACCATGAGTCGGAAAAGGATAACGAAGAGTTCGCGGGGTGACACATTGAGGGCGCGCACGCGGACTTTCCATAGGACTAGGAGCACGCACTACACTCTCTAAGCGTTCAGTGTCTTCATCGAAAACAGACCGTTTCGCCAGTAAAGAACGAACTACTTCTGAAGGCTTCACTTCATTGATATCGACTTCGAGGAGACGATGACGAAATCGAGCACGATCAGGAGCGTCAGCTAGGGCCCTGGAGCCGCTCCATTTCTCGTATTTCTCATCGAGGCTACGAATGCGTTCTTCCAGCGAAGGCGAGTGCGGCGCGGAGGGGCCACTCGAGGAAGAGGCGGACGGCGGGCGCGGCGGCGAGTCGGGAGCTGGGGCAGACTGCGGGCGCGGCGTTGGTGGGCACGTGCGCAGGAGCTGCTCCGCGAACTTGGGCAACGGCAAGCTCATCGGCAACGGGGGACGCTCGCGGGGGCCGCGTCGGGGCTCGCACGGCAGCGCCTCGGGCTCGTCGCGCAGCGGAGTCCCGGCGCGCGACCCGGATCCCTCATGTTTCCGCCTGTGTCGACGCCGACCCGACCACGTGCTCGTACCCACAGATCGAGATCCTGAGCGGGATCGACGACTTCGGTGTCGTTCCTGATTGATATTAAATGTTAATATTTTTCGACTTTGAAAAATTAGGCAGAGAGTTATGTAGAAAAGTACAATGAAGATTACGTACGCATTCGATTACGCGTACTATTGTATGTTTACATGAGAAGTTTTATAATTTTTAGCATCAAGTAAAATCCTCTAGTCTCAAAAGTAACAAACAATATTAAGTACCTTTGAATGTTTCCTTTCTTCCGGGCTTGAGTCTCGGCGGTGCTTCCTGGCGCGATGCGGTGATACGACGACTGACTGTAGTCGTTCTTCATAAGGTACATCTTCATTTTGCGGACTGGAAGTTATGTCGTCGTGAACTCTGATGATCAATTGAAAATTAAAAGAATGTTTTAAATACAACAAGCTACTACTGTCTCGCATACAATCTCAAAATAATATTGAAATTTTAATTATTATGATCACATAAGGAATATATCTAACATTTTAAAATTTCATTTATGTTTATGTATCTTGTGTATACCATTTTATTTTTATGCCTAGATTAGGGTTTACTGAAGCCTACGGACATCCCAACATGATTACTGCCACCCATCCTGAAACACGATAGGTCAAAGTCTCCGGAATGAATAACTACTTCGCGGTAAAAATTTCAGTACCTACCCACGAAAGCGAGAAAGTTTCTCAACCTTAGTTTCAATTTTTTTGATTATACAGGGTTACAGGTTAAGTCGACATATTCCCGTTAAGAGCGTGTAGCTTACATCGTTTCTGACTGATTTGACTATGAAGCACCCTACCCCAAATCTAACCGATCTGGAGATATTTCAATTTAATTGTTTTTTATAAAAAATACCCGAGTTTCGGCTATCAGCTTAGATATTTTGAAATGCGTAAGTCTTATTATTATTATTACATGATTTTTACTTGTAAAATAAGATGCTGTATGACCCCAATAACAAATATTGTACGTAAAATGAATAAACAAGTCGTTTTAGACGATTAAAACTTACAAAAACGAATAAAAAATTAGCAAGATTATTTTTCTTTCAAGGATATCTTAAAAAAATATTATGGCACCTGTTTGGCAGATGTGCTTAACAATATCTACGTTTTATCAGCTATCCAACAAAGTATAACAATCTAGGGTTTAAATAAAACATCATAGAAAATATTTAGTTGCGAGCCTCCAGGTAGCAGTTCTAACAGTCCCTCGCCAATTGTCCTTCAATGTTAATGCAGTGCGTGCGAGCGAGACAGCCTGAATGTGTGGATGGGCATTATTTCCGATCATTTGATTGGGGCTTACTTTCTCCCCGACAATTTAAATGAGGTATACTATGAACATTTCCTGCGAGGAGACCTAAATGACCTATTAGATGATTTGCCACTCAATCTGATTCAAGACGTGGTTTCAGCATGATGGCTGCCTTGTGCATTTCAGGAGAAGTGCCAGAGAATAGCTAGACACAAATTATCCAAATAAATGAATTGAACGAGGTGGGCCTATACCCTGGCCAGCCATAATTCCGGACCTAACCCCCATGGATTTTTATGTGTAGGGGGACACATGAAGAGTCTCGTGTACAGTGAGCCCAACCCAATTTCATCAATTGAAGTATTGAAAGACAGGATTATTAATGCGGCGAATGAAATGAGAAGGAAATTAATTACTGGTGTAATAAAACTGGACTTCGTAAAATAATGCGAACATGAGTGCAAAACAGTCCCGGACATAATGGGCATGAAATTTAGACCTTAGGATGTTTTGTTGGAACTTGAAAGTTTAATAAATGTAGTATCTTGTACATACTTGTTTTATTTAGCCTCCCCTGTAGCCTATAAAACTAAGTGTTTTCGACAAATTTTTGATAAAACCTTAGATTGCTATACCTTTTTGGATAGCTGATGAAACGTAGATATTGTTAAGCACATCTGCCAAACAGGCGCCATAATATTTTTTTATGATATCCTTGAAAGAAAAATAATCTTTCTAATTTTTTATTCGTTTTTATAAGTTTTAATCGTCTAAAACGACTTGTTTATTCATTTTACGTACAATATTTGTTATTGGGGTCATACGGCATCTTATTTTACAAGTAAAAATCATGTAATAATAATAATAAGACTTACGCATTTCAAAATATCTAAGCTGATAGCCGAAACTCGGGTATTTTTTATAAAAAACAATTAAATTGTAATATCTCCAGATCGGTTAGATTTAGGGTAGGGTGTTTCATAGTAAATTCAGTCAGAAACGATGTAAGCTACACGCTCTTAACGGGAATAGGTCGACTTAACCTGTAACCCTGTATATGTATAAGTTACGAAATAATGTGCTCATATTAAAATAATCGTAAATACCTGTAACGTCGATCTGCCGCGTAGTCGGTGGGGTCGTAGTGGTCCAGAACAGAATATCTAGGTGTTCTAGATGAGCTACGGCCGTAACTCGATGCTCTCGACCTTGATCCACAACTGTCGTATCTACGATAATATTTTAATTAGATATAAATTAGGTACATAGTTTATCATAAAGAATCGCTCGGTAAATTTAAAACAACATGGATAGACAACAACAACCTATGTTGTTGATTTTATTCACTTGTTAAAACCGTTACTGTCAATAACATTTATATACACTTGTTTTTTTTGGCTCTTAAAGGTTATTCAAATCTCAAAAGAGAAGCAAAAAAGGACCGAACTGATTTTTTTCATTAACAAAAACATCGTACTCACCTAGTAGGTTCATGTCGAGCGGTTGGCAAATATCGTGTCCCAATCTCGCCGGCCAATCTTTCAGAACCCGCCAATGCCGCTGTTCCTCCATGTTTTTCCAGTTGCTCGTAGAAAGCTTCCTGCAGACGAAAAATTTCAAGCGTTACAATTACTATTATACCGTTAATTTGTCAAAATAATTTTATAATGATCTATAGTATAAACTACGTGCAACTATATGGAATTCGTGTTACGAAATCGCGATCGACTGAAAGCAAGCGAATATCCGAACATTAAAAATAAAGAGTTATAGGCACAAAATGAGTGTACCTGACACTCTCGCGAAGCGTAATCAACGCAAAGCCTCGGCTGTTCGGGCTCGGCAGCGGAGATGGTGGCGGCGACGCGACGCAGTTCCCGCACGGCCGCGCCCGCCGCCGCCGCCTGCTCGAAGTGCACGAGCGCCGCGCCCGCCGCCCGGTCCACACACACTGACGTCGCCGCGCCGCACCGAGACACCGCCCCTAGCACCTGACACATCACGTGCTTTTATAACGAATCCCCATTCGTGACTCGTCTCCTGTCTAAAACTTACAGAAAGCTTTCTTTGCGACCGAAGTCCAATGTGTTTCGTGAGCTTTGTGCTTGCTTTGATTTTTGTCATATTTCGTGCTTTCACGGAACCCACTGGACGAAACGGTGTATTTAATATCGGATGTTATGTTTAATACTTTCAGCTTTTGGTTAAATTTATTTCTGCCAATAGTAAGAATCGGAGCGACGCGGCGATAGACAATGGCGGCGCAAGCCCGTAACAACGTAGTTACGTTCTTATAAAATTTATATCTACTTAATTGTCAGCATGACATAATTTACTGCGTAATGAAAACATACCTATTTTTGATAACGCCCAACTATTTGAGTTTTCGCGAACTGCAGACGACACGTTTAACACTAGTTTTAAAGTTTATTATCCCGAGTTAATTATTTTGATTTTATAGTTTCCATTATCTCCCACCATATATTCTCAAGCCGTAAAATATTCCCAAATTTGGAATACGAATAAATAGAAACATTGATTTGAATTAAAAATGAAAAGTGTGTAACGAAAAACAGCAAGCAGGTACCCGTTTCAAACATTATTCTGAAATGTTATTATTATTTAAGACAATGAAACAATTATGGCTATTTGCGTAAATATTTATTTCCTTTACTAATGAGCAGCGTGACTACTGTGTTAGAACATTGATTTCAATTATTACCTACTTCACTTTTATTAATCAACCGTAAGTTTCTAAATGAATTTAATCATAGCCAACTTTATTTCAACCATGATGACGTAATCGTTGAATACATAACTTATAACCGATCGATCTTTCTTGTCTGATTAATCCCTTTGGATTTAAACAAAATATAACTACGAGGTTAATAAATACAAATAAATAAGTATCATTCAATTATATACGAAACTAAGTATATAAATATTATGTGCCGTTATTTAAAAAACACAGAAGAAAACAGTGAATAATGAAAAATTTTGTTTTAGCCTCAAAATAGCAACTGAGTCACTAATAATACCTGTTAGTCGCATAATTAATGCAGTCAGGTCAAGATCGTCGAAATACACTGTGTTCTGGTGGCACTTTACGTTTTAATTCCACGATCATTAGAAAATTAAATTAGAAGCTACGTTTTGCTAAATATGAGGCTTAGATAAAATTTTCTAATTATTTCTAAATTTTCCACGTTAATAAACTTCAATTATTTTGTGTTGAAGTTATGATGAAGCGCAAATCCTCTTTTTATAGCAAATTCACTAATATTAACAGAATTCACTTGTTTTTCATCTGTAAGCTAATTTAAATGAAACAAACACATGACCAAGTTTATCGCCATTAATCACCAAAAAATCACATCCAAATTACTTCACATATTGTGGATAGCCTTTATTGTGCTCACAATACTAAATTTGAAAGTTCAATCTGTCTATTGGTATTTCATAAATAAGATTGCATTATTTTTTTGCCTGATAGTATTTATTTTTAATAACATTGTTTCTGGTGATATAATTTGCGCACCCGATAATCATGAAACTAAAGACTATGTACAACATTTTTTACGAATCCCTGATAATTCGATTTTACTGGGTTTAACTATACAAATGTAATTACTAATTTATTATAATTATAAATTGTAATAAGATTCACGAAATTCCATATACCTGCTTATAAATAAAAATATGGGCGTTTTTGAAAATTAGGGGTTAAAAGTTTTAAGTGAGGTTCGCCACTTTTAAAGGAAAAAGCATGAAATAAAATATTTAAGCTTTTCATTAAGTTTAGGAAGAAATATCACAAAAGATACATTTAAAATGACTGTAATGTTCCTTCGATATAATATTCTAATACACGCGTGCTAAGCATGAGAGGGCTTTAAGGTATGTTGGGATGTTTGTTACTGAATCATGCAAAAATGGCTGAATGAATTTGGATGAAATTTCGTGTGTGCGTTTTGGCTGGATCATGATTATACGTACCAAGTGATCTACAAATCGATTAATTTAATGGACCAGAGACTTTATCTTCGGGAAAATGTAACTTATTCGATTCATTCTGAATTAGAAATGTAACACGCGTGAAATCACTTAGCACCTACAGTGTTGTCATAAAAAAAAGACATCACTTCCACACTGCTAAATTATTACTTTGGAACTGAGTTATTTCATATGTTTACATTTTCAGAAACAATATTGAGTACTTACTTACGTTTTAGCGAATTTTAAACAAAATTAATACTTTTACGACAAGCGAACGAAAACTGTAAAAAATTCGAAAACCGAAAAATTCGGAAGTAATGAAATGAAAACAAAGGCGAGATTAAATCGTAAAAGTAGTATTAATTGCACTATTGTTTACTTTATTTCTGTGTATTGTTCTACACTGAAACCGAAACCCAAGGAAATACCTGATAACATTTTTATTTAGAATTCGTATTGTCGTAGGTATGACAAACAAAAGTCTTGCCGTGTGCATGTGATGAATTAAAAAAAAAAATTATAGAAAATATTTACCTGCTTCTCAGTGTGTTCAGTTAATCCATCTACCCACACACAGGTCGTAGCTACAGGTTTTCCAAACCCCAGTTTCACTCGGGATCCTCCGACGTACTCGCCATCCATGGCTCGAATTGCTTCTACGACGCTAGATATGGAAGCGTATTGGCAGAAAGCGTAGCCGGCACCGCCACCGCTTCCTTTTTTTATATCTATTTCAATGATCCGACCGAAGTGCTTAAACTTCTCTCTCAACAATTGTTGGGTAACGTCCTTTTCTAAGTTACCAATGAATAACGTTCTAGTAGCCTGAAACAAATGATTCGCAAATTTTGCATTCAAATATACCATTTACACAGCGAATATTCACTTTTATTTAATGTTGACAATATAATTGAAAATTATTTCTTGTTATAAATATTACTAAATCAAACTAACTTTCCGCATTCGTTTTCCCACATTTTGGTGTTTATTAGTATATTTTTAAATTGTGCATTGATCATAAATAAGATACTGGTTTATAGGTAAATAAACAAAATAATTCAAAAACTATAAATATAAAATTGTAAAAAGCGTTGTGCAAAGCGTGCCGAAAAAAAAAACCAAATGACAATTTTGTTTTGTTGTATTTTAGTTTTATGTCGTGATAAGCAGTCGAGGAGATCTAAGTGCTCGTCTGATGTAAAATGGTTACTGGTGCCCAAAGCGACACCACAAAATAATATTATATTCCGCTACCCATATGGCGAATGGCGATAATATCCCTTTTGCTTGCAACATAATATCAGTAATTATTTTAAATGGGAACTGGAGATCAGTTAAAAAGAGAGTTCGGTAAGAATGTTGCTAATGATATTGCAGTAGTAGCGGCAGTCTCAGGAGTTAAGGAATATATGTATCGACGTATGTCACTAATGTAATCTACTAATAAAATCTTATATAATGTATTATATTAAGAGATTCAAATTGATTTAAAATGCAGATTTTTTTTATTAAGTTTTATTGGTATTTGCAAAGTAAATTACTATAATGTAGCGTATATTTATTTACCTTCGGATGGTACTCATCAATATCAGTCTCATAGGGTTTAGCGGACTCAGCATCTTCTTCGCAACTCTGATGTGGGGCCACGGATATTTTGCAACCAAAGAATAATTTATCCTGTGACACCTCTAGCGCCTTTTCCACGTCGGACGGTTTTTTAAAACGTACAACCGCATATCGATCAGCATTTTGACCGACTACTTTGACCCACACTACTTTCCCGTGTTTCTTGTATTCATGGTAGAGACCATCTTTTAAAGAGCTGTCAGTTGAACGCGTTGGTAGGTTCCTCACACAAATAGCTAAAGGTCGTCCGTTAGCTGTTGCCGCCCACTGTACATAAAATATAATTATTTCAATTTGCTTTCGTGGTACTTTATTTATCTTAGATACAGTAGATTGGGGGAAATAGGGACCAGAGGTAGAATAGGGACAAATATGGGATGTCACAATACTTTTGTCCGGTTGTTAGAGATTTAACTTTGTTGAACTGAAAATGACTTTTATTGGTGTTTAAGAATATTAAATAGTTTAATTTAGTCTTCAGTTTTGTAACTCATTAAAGTTGTTAAAAAGTTAATTACCTAAAGATAGGGGTACCTATCTAACAACTAAATAGTGCAAGCCCTATCGAAAAACTATTGTCCCCATACGTGACCCGATTCGCCCAACGGTTGGGTGAGTAGGGACAAGTGAGTTTTGTAACTTTTATTTCTTTAATAAACTATATCTTAATGCATTATAAATGAAAATTTAAACTACCGGAACCATTATGATCTCAGTTTAATTACTATAGCTACAACGATAAAAATCAACGTAGAACTTAAAAAGTGTCCCGATTCCACCCATTTTACTGTATTTTTTTGAGTAAATACTGTTTTGTTTCATTAACCTGGTGTTGTTGCGAGGCGCGATGGTTGGTATGGTGTGTTGAATTAGGCTGCGTAGCGGGTGTAGATGCACGTGAAGTATCGCTAGCGTCAGGTGAGCTGCTATCACTGTTTGATGAACCGGATCCGGAACGTCGTCGCCTTCGTCCGCTTTCAGTCCCAGCCCCCGGTGTGCTCGGCGTGCTTTCGCCACCCGTTGCACCTGCGACTTTTTCGCCGCTACCATACCATCGGTGATGAGAAGTAGTTCTGTAAATATAGTTATTCACATAGAGGTTTTTTGAATAATCTCTTTTAGAATTTACCGCTCTGACTGCTAAGCCGTGGATTCGACTTCCAGATCGTGCAGAAACATTCTTATGAGGTACATGTATGTATGTATGCTGTGTCTGTTCTCAATATCTAAATATGCGTAATAATATATTGTAAGCTCTTCTTCAATTCGATTCTTTTGAAATCATTGTTAGCGAAATAATGGGAGATAGAGCAATTGCTGTCAATTTGTTTCAGTAAGCTCAGTAACGATATTTATAATAGACCGGTGTCAATTAGTCGAAAGTTATAAATCATTGTATAGTATATATTATATAGTAGCGATTTATCTAAAAAATAACGGTTATCTTAATGCAAAATGAAAAGAAATTAAATAATAATTAAGATTTATGATTATGATAAGACTTAAGAAGTTTTTGCAAGATACACACCACTATGGTGAAAATATAATAAATAATTCTATAATATAAGAAATTGTTTCAGTCCCTCAATAAAAAAAAATAGACAAACAAAAAATAACCGGGAACAAGTCACGCACATTTATCCGGTCCCAAATTAAGATTCCCTGTAATGGAAACCAGACTGATTGATATACATATAGAAGGCTTCCGGTGATATCAAAAATACGTGCTTATGAATGGTGCAAAGCGTTGAAAAGCGGTCGAGATGTGATGGAAACATTTCCTCGCTCTGGTAGGCCTATCAAAGTTTGCAAGCGGAGTGTACACGTGTTTACACAAAAGCGGATGAAATGATGACTGAAAATCTTCATTAAAGTTCCAGAGATGTAACTTTCGGTCTCTTTTTTTTTCTACCTATGCTGATAGCCTTGAGAGGCTATTTCAGCTTCTCCTTGACCTGTAGGTGAGCTCACGGGGCTCAAACCGGGAGTATTGCTGACACTGGCCCTAGCAAGAGCAGTGCTTTGCAGAATCTACCACGGGATCGGAAACGCAACCCACTGAGGAGATCTGGCGAGAAACTCAGTGGGCTGTGTCTATGGGTTAATTCGCTTGTCGAGCCCTTGGTCGCAAGCGACGGGTTCGACGAGGACGGTGACCGGCGCTTGTGATATCTAAAAGCACCGTTAATGGATCGGGAGGATCCGTAATGATGTGTTTAGGGCGACGACGACATTTCAATCTCACGAGTCGATCCGCAACATTTTAAAGAATCACTTGAGTATGAAACACGTTGCCGTTCGGCTAGTCCTAAAATATACTAGAACGAGTCAATTCCATGCCAACATTCATGAAACGAATTGTTACTGGTGACAAGATGTGGTGGTGTGGTGTGATTGATTACAAATATCACAAGCTAGTCAACAAGCTTCGAAGTGGCGCCTTCCAACTAAACCGAAACATAAGATGGCCTTCACACAACGCCATCATTGTCAACGAATTTTTGACCAAAAACTTAACAAATACCATGGAGCAACAACTTTATTCACTAGATATGGCTCAAGCCGACTTCTTTCTTTTTCCTAAACTCAAATTACCACTTCGTGTCACCAGTTTTCATTCGGTAGAAGACATAAAGAAGATTTCACAACGAGAACTAAACTTAATTCCGGAACTGTAATGTGTATGTTGACATATACATATGTAGTACAATTAATTATCTTTATTGTTATTGTTGCTGTCTTGGAATTTTTCAATTTAAACTACAGAATAAAAACCGGAATATTTGAAATAATTAGATATACGATATGTATCTGTTTATTTATGAATGACGCAATGATATGTTGTTTCAAGTCCATATTACTACTATAATATTACTCTAGAAAATAACTATGAGATTATAAACTCACTAGTACTAAAACTTTGAAATCGTTTTGTTGGTTTTTATTAAAAAGTTCCATTCAAGCTAAAAGTACTATTTTAGCCGCCGTACAAATAAACTCGGATCTCGGACACTCCAAATACCAAATATCGGTTTACTCGGTTAACACATGTGCAACAACCGTGATTTCATTCTAGGTCAAAACAGAATCCAATTTATCTAAGTAATGAAGCACCTCACATGCGTTTAAAATTACTTTTAAACTACTTTTAATCGGCCGCATTAATCGTGTGTTCTGGTTTAAAGGTAAGAAAGAAGACAGTTGCGATTCTAATATAATTGTGATTTCTTCCACATGTGTGACACAATTTCATTCTTCCAACTTTCACCAAGGCTGAAAGTTGGAAGAATGAACCTCCTTTGTCGCAAATGCCTAAAGCGCCCATCCAGGGTAAACTCGGAAAGGACAGCAAGGTGGCAAGTCACACCACTGAACCCATTCGGATAATTTATGAAAATACGTCCGAAAAAATTTTGCAACGGGATATACTCGTATATCTGTTTATACTTTTTTTATGGCTAAGATGGGTTTATACTTTACATTTTTATTTTCATTAATTGTCACTTATTAGGAAAAATCTCATTTATCATCGTTTATTTCAAATCTGGAAAACACATTTACAAGTAAAACCAACCTCTTTAAATTCTTTTTTAAGTCTTTTCAGGTTGGTCCACTATAGAAAGAATGAGAGATATAAGTCGATTTCAATTTTCTTACGGTTTTGAGTCCGAGCTAGTTTTTTTAAAATTAATATTCGCTCTTCAGGGAAGTTGGCCAACACATCAGTTCTCTCTTAATAATAATAGACTGTCGTTATAATCGAAATATGTATTTATCATCAATTAACTTCCTCTCTATCAATCTGTCAGTCTCAGCACTTGCTGTAGTTCTGTTAGCTGTGATAAATATCCACCGGAATGGACATACACACCCATATATTATACATTTTAATAATGCTATTTATTTTAGTAATCACGCCTTCTTAATTTTCAAACAGTCGGTATATTTATTTACAGATTTGTAAATACAAACAAAATTGGTTTTTGCTTAGGCAGACATCTCATCAAGAAAAACGCAATTGTACCACGGAACGATGTGAATGGTGATAGCTAATTTCAACCCGCTAATTCGACCGATAACTTTTATATTTGTGTACATAACAAATTAAGTTGTTCAGTCGTCATGATGCATGTTCTGATGACGGGTGGCGGAAATGAAACCGGTAAAACCACATTTTTGCTATTTAATTATCCAAGAACGGCAAAAGGACCATCATATAAAAACAATAAATCCGACAACTAATTTACATGCGAGATAGGAACACTAACGCTTGTGATTATGTGTTCAGTTTCAACAAATTATTGTTATTTTTTTGTACAAAATTAAAAGGTCGTCCTTTCTATTAAATTAAAAGACTAATTTTGTAGTGCAGCTTTTCTAGTGAATTTTTTAGGAAGAACTGGTGACTAGTGATCCTTAAGCCTTTCTAGCTTCACCAGGATAGGTAGACATGATTTATTTAAATCGGTTTAATTTTTTAGCAGAATGACAAAAAAACTATATTTTTTTTAAGTACGGGATTTTTAAAAATAAATTGCGTTTTAAGGTTATAAAAAATAAATGAAGACGTATCAGGGCGTGCCATAAGAAGAGACAAAAAACATTGCATGGGGTAAAGTTAAACACAAAAAACAACCTAATTAATTACTAGTAGTTGTAAGGTTTGATACCATTATCACGCCACTTTCTGTATTGACGCAATTAGGCGTTCCGCGAGGCCAGCCGATACATATTTCGGCCTCATGTCTCATACAAATAATTAAATGAAAAAGAGAGAGAGAGATAACTCCCTCCGAAATTTTCAAGGTCTCGTGCATAAGTAAAAAATCTGCACTGACAAAATTTTGCCCAGTGATTTTAAATTTGAACTATCCACTTTTTTCAAACCGCTACACCGAATATTGTATCTATTCAAAATAAATTAGTTGTTTTTTGAAAAACATTGACAAAATCTATGTAGGTCGGTGTAAGTGGACGTTCGTGTAAGTGAAATTAATTTACGTATTCTGTATGACTTGTTCGTCTTGTAGTGTGATATTAATTTTATCAACGATTAGTATTATCCTAGATACTTTTTAAGTATTGTGTACGGCTTTCTTGTGAGTGGGAAAAGCGCAAATCGAGATATTTGTGCAGAGGGCTAAAAATCAAAAAAATTTGATCAATTACAACATATTCCAATTGATAAAATGACCTAATTTGCCAAAATTTCATCTCACTATCATTCATATAAAATATAAACTCAATTTATTCACATAAAATAACATCAATTATTCCAAACTGAACTTCCATGAAACCTTGAAGACACACCGAATAATAATGATAAAACTGATATATAAACAGGTTCAATAAAACCGTATAGTAGTCAAGTAGCTTACTCATAAAATACGAGTAGTTTCTTATAGTCTTTATAAATTAATATTATGCAGGAAATTAATTATTTTACCTTTCAACTGTAGAAGGCGGTGTTGAATACGGAGCTGTCGAATTGTTCCGCTGATACCTTCCATATGCAGCTGGCGTACTGCCGCGTCGACAGAATTCAGTTGCACTATCATTAGTACCCCGCCATGTGGCTGGAGCAGCCACCGATGCAGCAAGTGGACATGTTGTTGTAGCTGGACTTTCCTCAACGCCTCTGAAAATAAAAAAAAGGTATTTTTAATGCCGTAGATATTCAACAATCTCCATCCAATAACTAGTTCCCGGAGCCCGCAGACACTAGAGTGCTGAAGAGCAGCGCCACCCTCAAGGCATGAAGGCGAAGCTTTAAGTGTGTTATAACAATTATAGTTACTGTAATCACAAAATATGAAACCAAAAATTAATTCATAATATTAAATTTAAAGACTTCTTATAACTAGCTTTTTACTGGTGGTAGGACCTTTTGTGAGTCCGCACGGGTAGGTACCAACCACCATTACCCTGCCTATTTGAGCCGTGAAGTAGCAATGCGTTTCGGTTTGAAGGGTGAGGCAGCCGTTGTAACTATACTGAGATCTCAGAACTCAAACCTCAAGGTGGATGGCGGCATTTACGTTATAGATTTCTATGGGCTCCAAGAACCACGTAACACCAGGTTTTTATTTTTATTGCCCTTGTAGGCAGACGAGCGTACGGCCCACCTGATGGTGAGTGGTTACCGTCGTCCATGGATTTCAGCAATGCCAATGGACTGTGAGCTAGTCCACCCATCTATGCAATTGTAAGAAAAAAACGAAATCTTTTTATTCTTCATTTTGATAGTTATTATACTTAATAATAGTAGGGGTATAATAAGCTTAATACTAAATCGACCGAAAGTTCTATTCGTGCCGCGCTTAGTCAAATTGACCAGTAATTAAAAAGTGCACTATTTTATTACTCAATGCAGATGGTTTCTTTTGCTTGGAAATGTTAAAAAAACTGGAAACGGAGTGAAGAAAATTTTATATGTACATTATAAGAATTGTCTTATAGTTCAATAACGATATTATAACGTTAAAATGTGTAAATAATATTTTTTTAGATTTAGATAGAATTTAAAGATTGGAAACGAACAAATTTGGTTGGATCTGGTAAGTTTAGTCTTAAAAATAATCATGACGTTAAATAATAATATTTTTTTTATTAATAATTGAAGATAGATTTTCAATACCTGTTAGATTATGATGACACATAAAAAAAATAGGCTACATACTTTATATTACAGGACTTCAAAGGGGCTAATAATTACACAATACATGAATAATAGATAGCAATAGGACACGTTACTTGTTACTCCAATTACAATATTTAAGTAAACGAACTTAATAAAACGAACAGGATATAAATTAAAGTTAAAACTTGCACTGGTGTTCTTTCTATTTATATTTAGAGAATCTGTAAAAATATCACTGTCATTATTTTTATTTAAATGCTCGTTTCAAAACGAGGAGAGCCGATAAACGGCAGGGTGTTTACCGATGTCGAGATAAATAGAATTTGAAGATAGTCAAGCACGAACCAACGTTCTAACAAACTCAAAGTGACTTTAAGCTCAATTTTTATTTTATTCACTTAAGAGTATACGAGTATTTACATTTTGAGGATTTACACTCCACAATCACAGCAAGCCCTAGATACCATTTCAATGTACAGTGACGCATTCTATAGTTCATTCCGTTCAAAAATAAATACTTTGTAAACAAAGAAAAGTCAATGCCCCATAACTGTGTTAAGTGACTATTGAAACGAATGTGACGAATGACAATTTTTTTTCTTTTAGCTTTATCTATAACAAAATTGATTTGAGGGGATTTATCGGTTTAATCACATCAAATTACATAAAACTAACTCGAGTCATGACTTCGTCCGCATGAATTTAGTGGTCCTTCGGGCCAATGACGGGTCACGACGGATGGAGGAATTAGGGCGTTCAACCAGGGGGGAAGAAGATTTGCCAACAACTCCCGACCGCTTCTGCACGAGACCTAGGAGGGCAGAAGATTCGCCAACAACTTCCAACCGCTTCTTGAGGAGACCTAACAGCTCCAGCTCAAAGGCCCTATGTAGTTTAGAAGAAAATGCATTTTTATATTAAAACGTGGAACATAACTATATCGCAATTCAAAAAACGGATAACGCCAACGAATCAGTACTACTGTAAACGTGCGTCATCAACTTGAATGACTTTACATTAAGTGAAAATATCGTGATTTTTTTTTTAGATAAGACAATTATTTACGATGTAAAATAACAAGAAAAAATATCGAAATCTACCAAGTATGTATAGTAAATCTGCAATACGCGCACAATGCCACACTTCGTAATCGTGTTATATATACAGAGCCTTTATTATTATAAAATTAAATATATTAGTTAGTATAGAACTTATGTTCGTACATTTTTATAATTAGGTATACCATTCAAATGTTTAATTATTATTATTATTTATAGTTTAATCCGTTTAGTGATACCGGGGGAGGGGGGGTTGGTGTAACAGACCCGGTTATCTCGGACTCTGGAGCCTCCACAAAAGAAGTGGAAGATAAACTCATACATAAACTCACACAAACAACTCATCTATATTAATCTATATTTAACTAGAGGTCCCGCAGTAGTCGAAATTCGACTATAATTAATTGGAATTGTAAGTTTGTTCACTATTATGATTGTATTTTATACTTCCATAATCACAAATTTCGCCAAGAATACACTACCTATAAAAAATATTAACAAAGACAAACAATATTTAATCTATTCTCAATTTGACAACAGATGTCAAGAACAAAAGTTTGACAATAAATAGTATGCATGCGTGTGTGCGTCAAATACATGGTATGTAATGTGTGTAATGTTTTCTGTGTTAAAAAAAAAATTACCATTGTGCACTTTTTCTCTATATTCTCTACAAGTGTGGAAAATTTCATACTCCTCCGTCCGCGCAATTTTCACAAAAAGGGATACAAAGTTTTTGCTTCACGTATTAATATATAGATTACTAGCTGACCCAGCAAACGTTGTTTTGCCATGTATGTTATTTCTAGGAAACATTTTTTTAGTTCAATCAATAAATAAATAATTAATAGTTAATAAATCCTTCTATCAGTGTATTGATAGAAAACAGTGACTTGGGTAATATTGTGTTGTTTTCATTTGCTTAATATTTGACTTACCTTTCACAATAATAAAACAGGTATATTTATTAAACACGTATACGTCTTCGTTTTGATTTATTAACCACGTAAACTTTTTCGCTTTGATTTAAAACAATTTTATTCTAAGTCATGACAAAATAAAATCAAAATTCTTGCAAAAAAATTTAAAGTTTTTAATTAGCAAATAAAAAATAAGGGTTGATCGTACAGGGTTGAAAATTTAATGTTGTATGTATTTTTGTATGCTGTATTATAAAAAAATAAAAACAAAAAAAAATGTCTAAAAAATAAATAAAAAAATTTAGGGGTGGAACACCCTTAACATTTAGGGGGATGAAAAATAGATGTTGTTCGATTCTCAACCCTGACCGATATGCACGCTAAGATTCACGAAAATCGGTCGAGCCGTTTCGGAGGAGTTCAATCACGCACACCGTGACACGAGAATTTTATATATTAGAAGATTAATGAGCAGTGTTTTTGACGTGCTCTCACATCTTAAAGCTAAATTTTAAAACAAAAAAAGCATTGTTACATTTTAATTTTAATATTGTGTTATCTCATTTACGCGCTGATCTTTAATAAATATTATTGGCATATTAAAATTAAGTGATAGAGATATATAATAAAGATGTATTTGGGGCAAAAGTAATTTATTAATCTCTTAATGTGCTCATTACGAGTTAATATTAGTCATAACAGTTACACAGGTGACTAAATCTTGCTCAAGAGACAATTATTGGTTATGGAATATAATGTTACTAGCGGACCCGACAGACGTTCTGAACACACGTCTTAAATCAGGAAATTTGAATATTTTTTTTGTAGTGGACCGAAGTGTCATTCTAAACCATTCTGGAATCCACACGGACATACAAAAAAAATCATGAAAATCTGTACAGCCGTTTAGGAGGAATACACACGGACAGCAGTAATCCTACTAATATTATACTCGAAAGTTTGTAAGAATGTATGGATGTATGTTTGTTGCCCTTTCACGCAAAAACTACTGAATGTATTTTGATGAAACTTTACAATAATATAGCTCACAGATCAGAATAACACATAGGCTATAATTTATAAAGATATAGTATGAATTACCCAAAATATAACGACAGGTGTCAAGTAAGTAGGAAATAAATCTACCATTTTATTTTCATAATCAATAATAAATTACAGTTCCCTCAACGAAGCAGGGGCGGGTCGCTACTCTATATACTAATATATAAATCTACAGTTGTTTTTACGGATGTTCCGTTATAACTACTGAATACTGAACCATGCATCCGATTGACTTGAAACTTGGTATCCATGTAGAAAATACATTTACTAAATAGATAGGCTAATATTATATGAGTGTTGGACTCCCTAATAATAATGACAATAAATAATAATGTTAATTTGAAATGCCCAGCGAAGCGGACGAGTATGGCTAGTAGATTAATATTGTTTGTTTTTAATGTTATTTATCTAGTGTAGTTTTGGCGAAATCTGTGATTATATTACAGAATGTATTTATTATGTTTGACAATAGAACCATAATAATGTTTAAACATACAATTCCTTTATATGTCAAAAAAAAAACAAATTTTACTTTTTTTTATTATACTCGGCAATTAGTTTTGGTGTGATTATTCAATATAACGTAATAAGAAATTTCCCGCCTACCTCCAGGCGTGTTACGGTCAGAGTAAGCCTTGCAGATTGCAGACCCTTTTTAGGCCTGTTAGCATTAGGTGAAGCTTCTAGCTGAGACTAGCCTAGTCCACATAAATACTTCAGAGAAAAATATCTTATGGCATATCGTAAATAAAGAGATCGAGGTACAAAACACCACAGTGCCGTAGCAGCGTCACTAAAGTTCACACTTCAAATCAGCCGGGCGCCGTATCGGCGAGGCTCGAGTGCAATGAGTTAATAATGTAATCTATAGCTTATTTGATTGATGAAATCAGTTTATTGACTTGTCACTTAACTACAGATAATTCTATAAATTATGAATTACTTAAGTAAGGTACAT